CCTGACCGGTCGCTCCTACCAAGTGGCGTGGCGAGAAGCTGACTCCGCACCACGTGCTCTCACCACTGGTGTCCCCCAGGGCTCAGTTCTAGGCCCTCTCCTATTCTCGCTATGCACCAAGTCTCTTGGCTCTGTCATATCCTCACATGGCCTCTCCTATCATTGCTATGCAGACGACACACAACTAATCTTCTCCTTTCCCCCTTCTGATAACCAGGTGGCGAATCGCATCTCTGCATGTCTGGCAGACATATCAGTATGGATGACGGATCACCACCTCAAGCTGAACCTTGGCAAGACGGAGCTGCTCTTCCTCCCGGGGAAGGACTGCCCGTTCCATGATCTCGCCATCACGGTTGACCTCTCTGTTGTGTCCTCCTCCCAGAGTGCGAAGAGCCTTGGCGTGACCCTGGACAACACCCTGTCGTTCTCCGCTAACATCAAGGCGGTGACCCGATCCTGTAGGTTCATGCTCTACAACATTCAGAGAGTGCGGCACAGGTCCTAATCCAGGCACTTGTCATCTCCTGTCTGGATTACTGCAACTCTCTGTTGGCTGGGCTCCCTGCCTGTGCCATTAAACCCCTACAACTCATCCAGAATGCCGCAGCCCGTCTGGTGTTCAACCTTCCCAAGTTCTCTCACGTCACCCCGCTCCTCCGCACACTCCACTGGCTTCCAGTTGAAGCTTGCATCTGCTACAAGACCATGGTGCTTGCCTACGGAGCTGTGAGGGGAACGGCACCTCCGTACCTTCAGGCTCTGATCAGTCCCTACACCCAAACGAGGGCATTGCGTTCATCCACCTCTGGCCTGCTGGCTCCCCTACCTCTGCGGAAGCACAGTTCCCGCTCAGCCCAGTCAAAACTGTTCGCTGCTCTGGCACCCCAATGGTGGAACAAGCTCCCTCACAACGCCAGGATAGCGGAGTCACTCACCACCTTCCGGAGACATTTGAAACCCCACCTCTTTAAGGAATACCTGGGATAGGATAAAGTAATCCTTAATCTGATGTTTTTCATCGGCAGGGACTGGGAAACTGGTCAGAATTGAAGGAATGATTGATGGCGCTCAATACAGGGAAATTCTTGAGTGAAACCTGTTTGCAGCTGTAATTGCTGCAAAAGGTGGCTCTACAAAGTATTGACTTTGGGGGGGTGAATAGTTATGCACGCTCAAGTTCTGTTTCACAATAAAAAATATTTTGCATCTTCAAAGTGGTAGGCATGTTGTGTAAATCAAATGATACAAACCCCCCCCAAAAAATCCATTTTAATTTCAGGTTGTAAGGCAACAAAATAGGAAAAAAGCCAAGGGGGTGAATACTTTTGCAAGACGCTGTATACCACTATTTCATACCACCAACTAACCCTACATCGATATACCACTATTTCGTACCACCAACTAACCCTACACCTACAGGGGGGAGAACAAGTATTTGATACACTGCCGATTTTGCAGATTTTCCTACTTACAAAGCATGTAGAGGTCTGTAATTTTTTTTATCATAGGTACACTTCAACTGTGAGAGATGGAATCTAAAACAAAAATCCAGAAAATCACATTGTACGATTTTTAAGTAATTAATTTGCATTTTATTGCATGACATAAGTATTTGATCACCTACCAACCAGTAAGAATTCCGGCTCTCACAGAACTGTTCGTTTTTCTTTAAGAAGCCCTCCTGTTCTCCACTCATTACCTGTATTAACTGCACCTGTTTGAACTCGTTACCTGTATAAAAGACACCTGTCCACACACTCAATCAAAAAGACTCCAACCTCCCCACAATGGCCAAGACCAGAGAGCTGTGTAAGGACATCAGGGATAAAATTGTAGACCTGCACAAGGCTGGGATGGGCTACAGGACAATAGGCAAGCAGCTTGGTGAGAAGGCAACAACTGTTGGCGCAATTATTAGAAAATGGAAGAAGTTCAAGATGACGGTCAATCACCCTTGGTCTGGGGCTCCATGCAAGATCTCACCTCATGGGGCATCAATGATCATGAGGAAGGTGAGGGATCAGCCCAGAACTACACGGCAGGACCTGGTCAATGACCTGAAGAGAGCTGGGACCACAGTCTCAAAGAAAACCATTAGTAACACACTACGCCGTCATGGATTAAAATCCTTCAGCGCACGCAAGGTCCCCCTGCTCAAGCCAGCGCATGTCCAGGCCCGTCTGAAGTTTGCCAATGACCATCTGGATGATCCAGAGGAGGAATGGGAGAAGGTCATGTGGTCTGATGAGACAAAAATAGAGCTTTTTGGTCTAAACTCCACTCGCCGTGTTTGGAGGAAGAAGAAGGATGAGTACAACCCCAAGAACACCATCCCAACCGTGAAGCATGGAGGTGGAAACATCATTCTTTGGGGTGCTTTTCTGCAAAGGGGACAGGACGACTGCACCGTATTGAGGGGAGGATGGATGGGGCCATGTATCGCGAGATCTTGGCCAACAACCTCCTTCCCTCAGTAAGAGCATTGAAGATGGGTCGTGGCTGGGTCTTCCAGCATGACAACGACCCGAAACACACAGCCAGGGCAACTAAGGAGTGGCTCCGTAAGAAGCATCTCAAGGTCCTGGAGTGGCCTAGCCAGTCTCCAGACCTGAACCCAATAGAAAATCTTTGGAGGGAGCTGAAAGTCCGTATTGCCCAGCGACAGCCCCGAAACCTGAAGGATCTGGAGAAGGTCTGTATGGAGGAGTGGGCCAAAATCCCTGCTGCAGTGTGTGCAAACCTGGTCAAGACCTACAGGAAACGTATGATCTCTGTAATTGCAAACAAAGGTTTCTGTACCAAATATTAAGTTCTGCTTTTCTGATGTATCAAATACTTATGTCATGCAATAAAATGCAAATTAATTACTTAAAAATCATACAATGTGATTTTCTGGATTTTTGTTTTAGATTTTAATTACTTAAAAATCATACAATGTGATTTTTTGGATTTTTGTTTTAGATTCCGTCTCTCACAGTTGAAGTGTACCTATGATAAAAATTACAGACCTCTACATGCTTTGTAAGTAGGAAAACCTGCAAAATCGGCAGTGTATCAAATACTTGTTCTCCCCACTGTATATACAACTATTTCGTACCACCAACTAACCCTACACCTATATACCACTATTTCGTACCACCAACTAACCCTACACCTATATACCACTATTTTGTACCACCAAATAACCCTACACCTATATACCACTATTTCTTACCACCAACTAACCCAACACCTATATACCACTATTTCGTACCACCAACTAACCCTACACCTATATACCACTATTTTGTACCACCAACTAACCCCACACCTATATACCATTATTTCATACCACCAACTAACCCTACACCTATATTTCATTATGTTTCTTTTTAAACACCACCACATGCCACTACTTTGACCCTAACTGATCCTACACCAGGCCGACGGCTTGGGAGGACGGGACTCTTTTGTTCAACACACCTTGTAACTCTTCTGCAGTAAAACCTCGTACACCCAAGTACTTCTCTGCAACTGCCACCACAACATCTATTTTCTGTGATTTACATTCCATTTCTGCGGTACAGTTGATAACCATGGCAATGAATGGTAAGAAGCCAACCTTACTGAAGCACACATTTGTATCACTGTATTGGCCTAGGCCTACTGCTCACCCTTGACTCATCATCCTCTTCTCTCTTCACTGCCTCAGCATAACACCTTGTTATACTCTGACCCTGGCAATCTCAACCTATCTCTCTCGCACCGGACACTTCTGATCCCTAGCAACATGGGCACCCCCACAATTGACACAAAGTGTTTTCCTCTGATACTACACAATCCTTTGTCCCATGACCTCCTGCACACTTCTCACATCTTGGAATCTCCCTCTACACACTGCTGCAACATCACCATAAGCTTGGCATCTGAAACACCTTAGTGGGTTCGGCACAAAAGCTTTCACGGGTTAACAGACTTCATCAGGTAAAGACTCTGCTTCAAAACTCAAAAGGACAGACAGTGTCTTCTCAGTTCCCCCACGCTCACCACCGGCCTGCATCGCACCAAACGGCAGGCGTCACAGAGCAAAAAAAAATCACTTGCTCCACATCAACACTAAACTCCACCCCAGTAATCACTCCTTTCAAAGGCGCCCTGCTCCGGATAGCAAAGCAAGACACAGGTCTTGTCCCTAGGCGCGTGAAGCAACGTGCCCGCTTCCTATGGACGGAAGAAACACAGAACATCATCTCATGTCCACTTTGAGCTACCTTCACCGATTTAACAGTACCCAACTTATTTTCTACCCAGCCTGAGACTACATATGGATCAGCCAAAAGGCAGGTATCCACTTTCTCCAAAAATGTCACTTCCACTGTGCCTGAATCATTCTTTGCATGACAATCGGGGTGAGGCTCGGACTTGGAGGTTTTCACCACACCTGCCACCACAGGTAATTCATTCTCACTCTCGTCAGGTTCAATTTCTGAGCCATCATACAGCAGAATAAATGTTGTACTTCAACACACATCTTCCCACTGCACTCGGTTCTTCTCCTTCTTCCTCGCTGTCTATAACCACGTCTATCCGGTCACTACGCTCATGCCATGCCTTCATCCGCTGTGCTGCTTGCAGAACACATGGATGGCCTTTCTTCAATACCCACCTTCTATTCCTTAGCCCAATTTACTCGTCTGCCTATCTCTAGCCTCTCCATGCTCGCAAAACTTTACCTCACGTGCTTCGTCGGTGAGAGGAGGCAAGGACACTCCTCCATTCGCCTACTAACTCAATTACACTCTCCTCGACCACTCAACAACTTGAGTGGTTTCCAGGTCACGGAGGAGAGAGGAGTCGAGGAGAAGACTGCTTTTCCCAAATGAGAATCTCCCCGAGTCAACTTGCACATCCAAAGGTACGTTTCCATAATAGAAGGTATCCTTTACATATAGCTAGAACTTTATATGAATTTACTTTATAGAATGTTTTTGTATATTTGATTGATAAAACAGAAAGGATGTTTATTTAGACACACCCCTCAATATTTTCAGTTTTTCAAATACCAACTCATCCACCTCAATGGTAATTGTTACAGTCCATATGAAAAAAAAACTATACAAAGTACAGGAGTACTCAAACAGAGTTTAATGCAAATGATTGACATATCAAAACATGGGTTTGAGTGGCTAAATTAATTCAGTGACTTGGAGTGTAACTTTCCAATCTGGAATTGAACATGTAAAACCACCAATAACATTAATTCAAACTGAAATGTACCCCATATAATATACATGTTTGACATTCAGGGTCATATAAAAAAGTTAGCAAGTACTCTAGAAAGTATGCAAAAGATAATTTAAAACACTACAGAAATGTCTCATTGGCAGAACACTATATTATGGACCATAGAAAAAGTCAAATAAAATGCAAACATTTAAAACAAATAGCATCATTGTCCATATTGTACACAAATCTCCAGATGGCAAAAATACAAGTGAGTATGAGTGTGAATTGTGTTTGTGTGTTGTATGGGTGTGTTTGCATGTGAGCAAGGAAGTGTGTGCTGTGTATATTAATGTATTATTCTGAAGCTCAGAAGGCACATTCCAGTGAAAGGGATATCTGCAGGCAGGAAAGACTCAAGGCTGATTGACCTGGCCCATGAAGAGGATCGTACCTGAGGACCAAGGAAACAAGTCATTCTACAGCAAATAGAAGGAAATGAACATAGCATGCATGTCAATAAGAAAAAAAAAGACAGAATATGACCTGACCTGCTTCCCGATGTATGTCATGTCAATTATACAACAGCTAGTTCAACAACTAGTGATCTTTGCCAAAGAGGATGTCAGTCCTTTAAAACCATTAGAGTACATTCTAAAAGTTATAGAAAAATGAGAGCCAGACAGACAGCATGCTGTACCTGTTGGGTTGTGCCGGATGAGGAAGAGGAAGGGTCGGTCTACGATGACCCAAGGTGGAGAAGACCTGGCCATTAAGATGGCAGCTGGAGGAAAATGAGAAATGCAAATCAAAACATGTCTTCAACCTGCCTTATCTTCTCTAATATTCAGAGAAAATATCCACACAGATGCACAACTCAATGCAATACAAACAGACACAAAATGACTAAACCAACAAACACGCACTCGTGGCAGCAGCTGCTTTGGTTCCATCCTCATTGACCTCGATCTTGGCTTTCTGTAGCGCTTTAGATACATACACAGGTTCTGTACCTGAGGGAAAAGTTAGATGACAAAATATTCAAGTGCTGTAAAGTTCCATTGATAAAAACAATGTTCCACTTGGTGGCACTAGAGGACAACCCAATTATGCACACGTTTATTCTGGTCCATAATATTATATAAAAGAAAGCCTGCCAAAGTCGTTAGAGGAAAATAACATCTTATGCTTCATCACCACTTCACACCGGACAGCTAGACATGAATCATGGCTATTTGGAGCTCTCATTGCAGTAAACAGTCAACGATGTTTTCATATATTAGCTCCAGTCATTGTTGTGTCAAGCCAAACTGAGACCAATGGTTGGTTGATACATAGTCAGAAAGAATACATTACAGTTCTATGTGATGTTTGATTTATGATCCCAGTGCCACTCACTGAGGTGTCGGAAGTCGGCTTTGCCCTCAAAGATGTCCGTTATCCCCAGGGCTGAGAGGGAGGCTTGCAGGTCCACTTCGGCTTCAGCAGTAAACCTACACATACAGGCCAATGATGTAATGACCATTTCCTTCACCAATTAGTGAAGACTTTTAATACACATAACAAATAGCACAATGTTGTACCTAGAAGTTAGTCATTTCAGTGTGACATATGATGAGTGTTAGCGGGTGTGTTATTTGCTGATAGGAAGTGCTTCCTGGCTATAAGAGCCAGGAGTGGGTGTGTCTTGTCTTTGACCTGTCCCTGCAACAATACTTGGAAGTTACTTGGTCATTGGGGTGCAACATTACAGACACACTTCTCTCATGTAGTGGGCAATAACGTCAGCTCTATACAATATATTTTTACCTGCAATGAGTTCAGAACATTGCATCCTCCTGAACAGGATCCTGGGTAAGGGTTTTTGAACCAGTGAGTGGGTTGTTGTGTTCGGGTCTTACTTGGGCAGCAGCAGGCGGACCTTCCTCTGGTGCAGCAGCTTGGACCAGCTCTGTACAGTGGCTGTGCTGATGTGAGGGATGACATCACCTAGGGGCGTGTCCTCCTCCGATGGCAGGGCGATCAGCATGCTTATGCTGTTGCCGTGATACGGTAGCTCAATGACCTTATAATTCAGCCCCTTGGGTGTGCTGGCCAGACCTAGGAGATAAGGGGTCAGGGGTGAGGAGTATCCATACCGTAGGCTAAGAAGTGTTACTGTATTCATGGTCCATCTGAAATTATTCAACACCTACAGTATATGAGGATATTTATCTTGTGAATAAATACTCTCTCTCCCCTATAGTAATATGAATATTTACATTTTAGTCATTTTAGCAGACGCTCTTATCCAGAGCGACTAACAGTTAGTGAGTGCATACATTTTTCATACTGGCCCCCAGAGGGAATCGAACCCACAACCCTGGCGTTGCAAGCACCATGCTCTACCAACTGAGCTACAGTTGTATGTTAAAGAGTTTAGTCTAGTTTGGCGTTTGTTGGTTCCCAGGACAATCTGTGGTGGGGTGGTCCGCTAGACAAAGACGCCAAAACCAGTGATACCAATCCAACAACACAAGCATTCATAGACAGGACCATATACAATCATGCAGTAAAACAGCCATAAAACAAGTAATCAAAGCTGAACTCCACATGTAGTCATAAAGCAACAATATGGTTCCCATTATACTCAAATATCAACCCACAGAAAAGTGATTTAACCTGTCATGACTGAGAAGTACGCTTGCCAAATGTGATGTTCTGTAGTATTTTCTCTGTAAATGGAGGATGAAAATATAACTCCCAAGAGCAATGTTTAATTCCAGTAATTGTATTCAAGAGGCTTTCACAATTTATTATCAGAAATAAACTAGGCACGTCAGGGAAATAATCCCAGACGGTCCAGAGTAGCTATTCTGTCCTGAAACTGTAAGGCATTGATAAATACCCCACTCGACTACTCTTAGGCCTACATGGCAAACTCTATCCATGTCACTTAACAGGCTAAACTACAGCCAAGATAGAATTATGTGGTCTAACTAGAGCAGACTAGTACAGTATATCATTTCACACACAGGTCAGAATATTATCCCAGTGAGCAGGTCAGAAGGGTTCAGAGTGGTGTCTCAGAGCAGAACTCACCAATGTTGAAGACCGACAGCTGGGACATCATGGGGACTTTGTATGCATTGCCGTCTCCCGCGTTGAAGGTTCTCATCTTGGTGTTCTCCGGCTGGAAGCGGGACTTCCACAGGCCTTTAAAGTAGATGGCGTTGATGGCCACCAGGCGGGTCAGAGCTCCGTCCAACATGTCTGCCTTGACCAGAGTGGGTATGTGGCCTGTAAATTAAGCAGTCAGAAAAATGTATCATTCCAACACCAATGACACACTGACCAAAATAAACCTTAATGAATTGAATAGGACAAGTTAGTTGCCCCCATTTGAATGTAAAATCACCACAAAACCTAGTGAAATAAAGTCTGGTGCTACATGAATGTAGCCTAATTACATACCATTAGAGATCTATGGTCATGTTTTAATTGACTGTTCTACAGTAAGCTTGCCTCCAGTTGGAGTCTCACCTTTGGTCTGGTTGTTGACCCAGTTGTTGATGGTGGCTGCAGCCACCTGGGTGTCAGTGAAGTCCAAGGTCCGGCTCTCACACTGGAAGTTGGCCCTGTTGGAGGACATGAAGGCCTCCTCCATAAGGAAGCCCTGCTGGGAGAACATAGCGTTGGCGATAGTCACGATGTCCTGGTTGGACTTGGCTGTCAGCGTCTTGTGGAGCTTCCTCAACATCTTATAAGGGCCTGGAAAGAAGAGTTGAGGAATTTCAATGAGACATTTTGGGATTTTCTGAAAACATTGTCGTTCCTCAGGGTAGAAGTATGACTGGAAGTCATGTCGTTCAAGCCATCATCACGTTGTTACTCTGGGTAGCGCAATGACTAGAAGTCTACAGGTACAGTAGCATTCGCTAGCGTACCTGTAGACTTCCAGTCATTGTGCTAATACTAGTTAGCATTGGCTCACGAAACTACCTCTAGCTTCCTTCATATTGCAAGAAGAGACATACAAATGGTATCCACAAGTTCATCTGACTCTGGGTAAGAAGAAAAGTGGCTTAATTGGCAGAATCTCGCAGTATCCCTTTAATGAGAGACACTGGATGAGGCTATGAAAGGACTAGTATTGAGGGAGTTTTACCATTCTTCTTGTAGCGGAGTGCTGTGAAGAGCTGCCTGCGGGTCTCTCCATGGGCGCCTGGCAGCAGCATGCCCAGGATGGAGGCCACACCGTGGGGGGAGAGCACCACGTTCTCCTGGGGTCTGGAGCGGGCCACCTGCTGGAACACCTGGAGCCCCAGGTCGGAGCCCCGTTCGCCATAGGAGGGGGTGGAGGGGGTCTGGGAGAGCACCCCCCGGTGGCCACACAGGGTCACCAGCACACACAGGCAAAGTAATGAGAGGCCCATCTCAGTTCTCACTCACTGACTCACACACCTAGAAGAGGGGAGAGAGAGTCATGGAAGTCATTTGCACGTAGGGTTATGACACACCGTGGTTCACCACAATCCAAACAGAGAGAGCAGTCTTGCATGTTCTTGTTCCTTATGGTTTTGACAGGAGCTGAAAGGTCCTGTGCCCCTATGGTACTGGCCTTAGTATCGCCATTGTCAAGTGAAAGAGGGATACCTAGTCAGTTGTACAACTGAATGCATTCAACTGAAATGTGTCTTCCGCATTTAACCCAACCCCTCTGAAGTGTTAGTCATGCTGTCTAAACATGACTAATGGATACTGTCAGCCCAAAACCAGCACCAAGTAGTTCACTACTTATATTGTTATTGGCACCTCATTGCCAGTCTTTCTATAGTTCATATTAAGTCTTACAACAATTTTTAGAAGACTACATCAGCTCTAGCCTCCTTCCTGTGGAAATACTGGCTTTATGAATTCAATTATGCAACAGCTTGCAATAAAACCCAGACAACCATTGTCTCAGTACAGATTGAGAAACCGATGGGGTGGGTGACTTATATTATAAAAAATATTAAATAATATAAGTAAGGAGTTTGTCTCTACATATGGCCTATATCAATTTAGTTATCAAGCCAATCATTGGAATTCTCTGACATTCCTTGGGATGTTTAATCCTCATAACAGTTACTTTGTTGTGAAACTGTTAGTAAAAGCAAAAGGCCTGGGAACAGTAGGCTACTGACTGAGATACAGAACAAGATTTTTTATTTAACCTTTATTAACTAGGCAAGTCAGTTAAGAACTAATTCTTATTTACAATGACGGCCTACACTGGCCAAACCCGGACGACGCTGGGCAAATTGTGCACCGCCCTATGGGACTCCAAATCACGGCCGGTTGTGATACAGCCTGGAATCGAACCAGGGGGTCTGTAGTGACGCCTCAAGCACTGAGATGCAGTGCCTTAGACCGCTGCGCCACTCAACACCAAGCCCAAGCTTGACCAGGAACTATCAACAACACTCAGTCATAGTGCTCAGTCATAGCCTCCTGCAGCCCATGTATTTAAGGGTGGTGACAACCCACCCCTGCCTCTCCTGAGTCTCCCCCACAAGTTAATTAAACTAACTCCAGTTCAGACATGTACAGACAGACTGTAAACAGAGCTCCTTCAGAGCTGTGTGTGTGTGTGTTGGCTTGGAAAATGTAGGCTAAAGCCTGCCCTACTGTAGCCTATTCATAAAAATTGGTTACAAAAGTGAAGGATGCCAGTCTGAAAATGTGAATAAAGAAATTAGTTGACAAGCAGCCTACTAAATGTAGAGGTGCGCGTATATAATATATAATAATAATAATAAGCCATTTAGCAGAAGATTTTATCCAAAGCGACTTACAGTCTTGTGCGCATACTTACATTCATGTGCGCATACATAAAATCACCTTGACATCTACTTTGAGATACACTATCCATGGATGAAACAAAAAAATAAACACCAGTATAATTCTGCATTTCAGTTATGGAAATGTGGTAGGCTCTGCTAACAGTACATGACGTTTAACCGTGAAGTCGAGACAAATGAGAATATGACCCAGGTGTTGACCATTGATGATCATTGTTTACAAAGTAGCTAATTAGAATAGATCCACTTTGAAGCGTTGCACTTGAAGTTGAATATTCGTCCATCCTGGTTGGCAAAAATGTTGCTTCACATCACTTATCTCTCTAACTCTACAAAGAACATACGACGTAGGCTAGCCTGAAACATGGTAACATTGCCATATACTACATTCATTTTTTAAGTGTATATCGCGTCTCCCTGTGGAGATAACAGATCTTTACCTGAATAGTTTGAATGTAAACGGTCCAAAAACGTTATTTGAGCATACAACCGTTCCGGTTGGTAACACAATACGAATACGATACCAGCCTCTCTCGAGTTATGAGCAGAGTGAACAGCCAGGCACAAGGTCTCTGTCGATGTTTGTCCCAAAGGTAAAGGTGCTGTCTGACACTCAGATTATAATATGGAGGGTTTTGGTGAGTTGAACTCCGCCCTTCCGACAGTCAAACTCGAATCGGAGAACGGTTGTTGAGAGAAGAAAAAACAACGCATAAAGTGACAACTTGCAAGTGTTTAGTAGGCTACTGTCAACAGGAAGTGACAACGAACATGAGCGCGCCATAGAATACTCCTTGTTATTTCACGGTTAAAAATAACTGTTTTATAACTGCTAGCCTACCATTTGGGATTCAAAATGGTTCATGTATTTCATTTAGCTTTTTGCATGTGATAGGTGTTGGGTGTCCTCTTTTAAACATTTGCTTAATTGCTTTTACTCATTTTTATTAATGCACACAAGGGTGTGGCTCACCCAGCAATTACATGTCATACCCAGAAGAGAATGTGTTTGTAACATAAAGTTATAAGTAGCCTACTCAAACTCCACCTCTCCCACACTCACTATGGAGACATTGGAAGACAGCTTGTATTGTAAGTCAATTGCCCACAGTGGCCCCTGTGTGTGTCCCCCAGATAACTGTAGGCCGTCATTGTAAATAAGAATATGTTCTTAACTGACTTGCCTAGTTAAATAAAGGTAAAATAAAAACTGTTGTCAGGACAGAAGGACCACCTGGTGCTTCTGTTTACCTGTGTGCCCAGCCCCTTTTTAATTTTTTTATTTAATTTTAGTCATTTAGGAGACGCTCTTATCCAGAGCGACTTACAGGAGCAATTAGGGTTAAGTGCCTTGCTCAAGGGCACATCGACAGATTTGTCATATAGTCGTCTCGGGGATTACAACCAGCGACCTTTCGGTTACTGGCACAACGCTCTTAACCACTAAGCTACCTGCCGCCTCTGCCATACTAAAAATACATGATTATTTAAGAGTTAGTGGATGTATGGCGTGTTGAGTTACAGGAGTTTAATAAGAGTGAAGGTACATGTAATCAAGAGGCAGTGTGCATTAAAACCCCGCCTTGATTTCCATTAAACTTTTATGGTGCCAATAACGCTCTTTATTTGCTGTATAATTTTAAAACTATTGGAATTAGGCCACAGCAGTTTCTTAAAGAAAGAGCAATGGCTATTTTCACCACATTTCTGTAGAGGTGTGGGCAGAATGTTTTGATATTTTGTAGTTACTTTTTCAAACTAAACAAGCATTCTGCCTACAGTATATAGTGAGTACCTGTCCATGAATTCTGCAAGATTGATTGTATATTCAAAACTATTTAAAAGTCGGATAAACGCTACAGCCCACACTGCTATGCAAAATATGAATTGTTGTTCAATAATTAGTTTATCAATAGATTATTAGGTTTCTATGTCCTGCCTTGGTATAGGCGCTGAGATGAACTAGGCAATGATGTCCCGCTCTTATCGCACAGCAATACTGTAGACTACTCAAACTTTCAAATATTTTACATAAGCTACCACTTTGTTGGCAGGATGTTTTAATCTTTAGAGGTAATTTATGCTGTATCTGTAAAAGGACTGTGTTCTATAGGAGAAAACATTGGTAAATTGTTGTGGACCTGTCAGCAGAACGTTTGAATTCAACAATGTTTTGCATCAACTTTTCCCCCATCCTAAATATGATGGACTGCCCGCGAATTCTGAAACATTGTAAAGAAAATGCAATTACACCCACTGGGTACAGTCATCAATCAACGTCTATAACACATTGGTTCAACTTAATAAAATTGAAATGATGTGGAAACAACATTGATTTAACCAGTGTGTGCCCAGTGGGAATAGGGTAGCCTAGTTACAGTAGCATACATAGGCCTACTTCAATGTAAAATATAAACGATTCACCTGTTACATTTGACTATATATTATAAACTGCGCAGCCTATGGGATTTCAAAACTTGAAATATATATAGCCTTTCTATTTCCTAGACTAGGTTTAAATAAAAGAGAGCTGCACATGGTTGTATGGCTACTTCGGGAATAGGAACCCATCACGGTCTGTAATGGTCATGAAAATACAAAAAATAGGAACAATATTCCTATTATTTTAGATTCAAAAAATAAAAGTTGTCCACACACATTTTGGGGTATATTTTGTACATATGCACAGTTTATGAGGCCCCAGGTGTTTCAGATTAGGCTCCAGATGATTGAGTTCGCATCCCACCCCCTGTGTTGCTATGGGCAGTGGGGTTGAATCCAGGGGACTGAGGGAGTAGTGGCCCTGCTGGGATATAGAGATGGGATTGTTGTGAAAAGAAACATAGTGGAGGGCCAGTGTGTGTGTGTGTGTGTGTGTGTGTGTATATGTGTGAGAGAGTGAGGCCACACAGCTGTGTTAGGATCATGCAGGATCCTGCAGAGGGATTTTGCAGTATCACTGAATCTCAAGCTCTTAAGTACTAGATCTCCCCATACATTCTTGACCAGGGCAAATATGGCCTGGATGATATACTGTAACACAGCCCCTCTGTCGTAGAGTGACTGTATTTCCATAATGTTGTTTGTGTTTGACACGTCATCTTCTGGTCTTTTTGTAGGACATAATCATGGTTTTCCTACTGTCATAGTGCCAAGAGAGAGAGCATCATTTATGCATTTTCCTGACGATATTTCACAAGAGAAGACAGTCAGACATTGTGAAGTGCACTGACTGTCTGGAAAAAAACAATTCAGTAATATTGGGAATACACTTTTTATTTTGAAATAAGATTAATCTTTCACAGTTGTTTTATTTTAAAAGTTGTATTTGTCATGTACAAGGGGACAACATTACATTGATATAATCAACATTCCTTCCATTCTTATAGCACAATCACTATTGTACAACTGTGGTCATTTTCTTTCTCCAAACAAACATAAATCCTTATCCTTCAGCCTGATTGGCCATCCTTGCTGGCCATCACCTCTCCTTCAGCCTGATTGGCCACTGTGGCTGTCTATCACTTCTCCTTCAGCCACTTCTGTAGGAGCTGGAAAATGTGTTCCCGAGCCAGGGTCAGCTGGGGGAGGTCCTCAGCTCTGGCAGGGTACATGTTGGCACAGTGGGCTGTTCCTGGATCAGAGTGAGTGAGTGAGTGACTGAGTGAGGGAGATAGATAGATAGATAACAGATTCTCTGTTACAAGACACCATAGACTGTCACAAGACACCATAGACATCAGTTGAAGGATAGAAGGACCAACGTTGAGCCCTCACCCTTTATGAAGATGGCAGGGAGGTCATCTGAGATGCTAGAGGTGATGCCCAGGGCATGCCAGGGGTCGATGGAACCGTTGGGGAAGACTATTCTGGTGGCACGGATGTTGTAGCTGCCGTAGTTCTCATTGGTCTGGTCTATTCCAGCGTAGAGTGTCTTAGCGCTGATGTTGAAATTGTCCTGACACTGTTCCACATGGTACCTGCCAGAGAGGGAAGGGATGGAAAGAGAGGAGGGAGAGGGGGATGAAAGAGGAGAGAGGCCCATTGATCCAGTCATACCACAGAGAGACATTCCTTCACTAGTACACACACACCTGGAGGAGAATACTTGTCAGCATTAAATAAGTACTCACTGGAGGCCAAAGCCACCGAAGGGCTGGTTAGGAGAATCAGTGGTCTGGAAGTAGCCAAACTCAGTGCAGGTCTGGTACGTCCACTGTCTCCCTGGATACACAGATGGATACATACATGGACACATTCACACATGCATACAGCGCCTTGACTTTTTCCACATTTTGTTAGGTTACAGCCTTATTCTAAAATCAATTAAATTGTTATTTTCCCTCATCAATCTACACACAATACCACATAATGACAAAGCAATTACAGGTTTTTAGAAATTGTTGCTAATTTAGAAAAAAAAAAACCCCGGAAATATCAAATTTCCGTAAGTATTCAGACCCTTTACTCAGTACTTTGTTGAAGCACCTTTGGCAGCGATTACAGCCTCAAGTCTTCTTGGGTATGATGCTACAAGTATTTGGGGAGTTTCTCCCATTCTTCTCTGCAGATCCTCTCAAGCTCTATCAGGTTGGATGGGGAGCGTTGCTGCACAGCTATTTTCAGGTCTCTCCAGAGAAGTTCGATCAGGTTCAAGTCCGGGCTCTGGCTGGGCCACTCAAGGACATTCAGAGACTTGTCCTGAAGCCACTCCTGTGTTGTCTTGGTTGTGTGCTTAGGGTCATTGTCCTGTTGGAAGGTGAACCTTTGCCCCAGTCTGAGGTCCTGAGCGCTCTGGAGCAGGTTTTCATTAAGGATCTCTCTGTACTTTGCTCCGTTCATCTTTGCCTCGATCCTGACTAGTCTCCCAGTCCCTGCCGCTGCAAACCATCCCGACAGCATGATGCTGCCACCACCATGCTTCACCGTAGGGATGGTGCCAGGTTTCCACCAGACGTGACGCTTGGCATTCAGGCCAAAGACTTCAATCTTGGTTTCATCAGACCAGAGAATCTTGTTTCTCATGGTCTGAGAGTCTTTAGGTGCCTTTTGGCAAACTCCAAGTCGGGCTGTCATGTGCCTTTTATTGAGGAGTGGCTTCCGTCTGGCCACTCTACCATAAAGGCCTGATTGGAGGAGTGCTGCAGAGATGGTTGTCCTTCTGGAAGTTTCTCCCATCTCCACAGAGGAACCCTAGAGCTCTGTCAGAGTGACCATCGGGTTCTTGGTCACCTCCCTGACCAAGGCCCTTCTCCCCCTATTCATTGCTTAAATTACATAGTAATACCACAAGACTTGAATGACACAGTTTAGGTCGACAATCAGTCAAAAATAATGTTATGGGAAAAACGATTTACTGTTCAAATGCACTGTCTTGTGCCTTTGAGCAAAGACAAAGAAAGGAAAGAGAAAGGGAGTGAAGTCACCAGGAAGAGAGGGAGAGAGAAAGGGAGGAGTGGACGGTTTACAGACGCTCCGGGTGGCTCTTTAAAAGACCCCTTCCTGTCCCAGTGATCCCCACTAAACCAATAAGCCCTCCCAGTCAAGGAAACTAGCCCTGGGAACCACAGCCAAAGGCCAGAGCACAACATGGAAATTGGTTGAACATTATTACTAACCGAACACAACCTATGACAGGGCTCTAACCAAAGTTCTGGATCAGAGGATATAGAGAGACAACACTTTCCACTGTAAAACTAAAAGGAAGATGTGTAAAATGCCTGTCTTAGCACTGCCTTTCCAAATGCACGCACACAAACAAACACACACATGTACACACACAACCATACCGTTGAGCAGTATAACAAGGAGGGATCTTTCTTTATTGCTGAATAACACTTTTAAAAGTCTATAAAACACACTTTGCACGATGCAGAGGCAAAAGGAGTCGAAGATGCTCTAGTTACAAGCCATCACTTATACTCTTCATTTGTTCATTTATATCTCTTATTTTTCATGACAAAAGATATAGCAAGAGGTAGTCGATTCAAATGGTGTGTATAGTGATCACCATTCAAATTTAGCAAAGCAAATAATTGTGCAAATAGCAATGCAAATAAAAGCCTTATGGATAAGGGTCCCCTGGACCAGTATTGAGTGACGGCCTCAGTGTTCCTCAGGGTGTTAACTGCTGATGAAGCAGGTTTGGCTTCTTCTGTCCCTTGGCATTGTACAGAGTTGGTTTTATTGAGGACATTGACATACATCCCCAGAGAGTGGCTCTACCCCTTCCCCCTCATCTCTCCACACCCCTTCTCCCCCAACCACCACTCCAACTTCACCTCCCCCACTATGGGATCCTTTGCCCCTCTCACCTCCCCCGCCATGGGGTCCTTTGCCCCTCTCCCCCTTCACCTCCCCCGCCTTGGGGTCCTTTGCCCCTCTCCCCCTTCACCTCCCCCGCCTTGGGGTCCTTTGCCCCTCTCCCCCTTCACCTCCCCCGCCTTGGGGTCCTTTGCCCCTCTCCCCCTTCACCTCCCCCGCCATGGGGTCCTTTGCCCCTCACCTCCTCCGGTGTGGGGTCCTTTGCCCCTCTCCCCCCTCACCTCCCCCGCCATGTGGACCTTTGCCCCTCTACCCCCTCACCTCCCCCACCGTGGGGTCCGCTATAGGATGTGTTCCTGAGGTCCTGAAGGTTGGCGTTGTAGGTGAGGTCTTTAAAACAGGGCTTAAGAAGGTAGGTCCTGGTTCTGAGGCGAACAAAAGCAGCGAAGCGGTAGTAGGGGTCTCCCAGAGAGGCATCGGACATCACACCACACACAGTCTTAATGGTGCAGTTCGTGTCCAACGCACTCTGCAATGACACAAACATAATGGTTACTCACTACAACTGTGGGTGGAAGTCTGTAGATTCTCATTGACTACCGCTGTGTATCTACTTCACTGGTATCATACAGAGCTATACATTTCTAAGTATGCTAAGCAGCTAAGGTACACGTGAGTTCTTTAGTTAGTTGCATATTTACTACAACTGGGTTATACACAGAATTAACCTCACCTGTGACCATCACAAGAAGACTTGTCTATATTTGGATTAAGTTAATACATAGGAAAATAAGAACCTTATAAACGTTGTTTCATAAAATAAGATTACATAAATTCCTTCCTATTTTATGAGCCACACATGCAGGGGTATTATATTATCTGGTTAGATTACACCCCTCTATCTGCTTTACTCCCTATACAAGTTCCTCAGTGGTACCTGAACCCCCAGCCCCTATCCATCCCCCTGGGCGCTGGATCCAACCAATCACTCTATTAGTGTGTTGTTCTGTGGCGTTCATACAACACTCCTTTTAAAGCAGCTCTCAGCTCTGAGGCCAGGAAACTGGAGCCTGTCTGAATCCAAAGGCTCTTTTGTGCCTTTTTCCACATCAGCTTATTGGTAATTGGACTCACATCTCCACCGGCAACAGGCCACAGAGAGAATCGCCATGGTGACCACAACAGACCTCTTGGAAAATGGTCAGATAGCCCATCTTTAAGCTCGGACCCCCCTCCCTGGCCTCCCTTCCTGAGGGAAAGACAGACATTACTTGGTTATGAGAGCGGTCCCGGTTTCGGATAGAGGTGCATGAAAGCCCAGAGAACCACCAGGAGAGCCTCTTCTCTTGGCCACAACCCTGGGCCTCTCGCATTGGAACAATGGCGGTTTTATTTCCTCCCTTGGGCTTCAGCTTTGAGCTACCTGCCCCTTCTTCCCCAACCCCATTTCACCCCCAAACTACCCCAATCCTGACTCAAAATGGTTCCTCTCCTAGGTCAACCAGGCACCTTATACTCTGAAATGATATACTGTCCACAAACCTCTCTTACCTCAAATTCTATATTGTCATTGTTGTATTGGACTGTGTTCATGATGTTCTCTGCCAGGGCATCTAGGATGTATGCCCGGTCCTTCTCTGACTGGATCTGCAGTTTTGAACATAAACTGAGAGACAGAGAGTGAAAGAGTGAGTGAAAGAGTGAGTGAGTGAGTGAGTGAGTGAGTGAGTGAGTGAGTGAGTGAGTGAGTGAGTGAGTGAGTGAGAGAGAGAGCTGTGACCGAGGGCCACTGCTGATGACAGTATAGACATTCATGGAACTAGTCCTCTGTATACAGTGCCTTCGGAAAGTATTCAGACCCCTTGACTTTTTCCACATTTTGTTACGTTACAGCCTTATTCTAAAATTGATTACATTGTTTTTTAGCAAATAAAAAACTGAAATATCACATTAACATTAGTATTCAGACCCTTTACTCAGTACTTTGTTGAAGCACCTTTGGCAGCGATTACAGCATTGAGTCTTCTTGGGTATGACGCTACAAGCTTGGCACACCTGTATTTGGGGAGTTTCTCCCATTCTTCTCTGCAGATCCTCTCAAGCTCTGTCAGGTTGGATGGGGAGCGTTGCAGCACAGCTATTTTCAGGTCTCTCCAGAAATGTTCGATGTCAAGTGCCTTTTACTGAGAAGTGGCTTCCGTCTGGCCACTCTACCATAAAGGCCTGATTGGTGGAGTGCTGCAGAGATGGTTGTCCTTCTGGAAGATTCTCCCATTTCCACAGAGGAACTCTGGAGCTCTGTCAGAGTGACCATCGGGTTCTTGGTCACCTCCCTGACCAAGGCCCTTCTCCCCCGATTGCTCAGTTTGGCCGGGCAGCCAGCTCTAGGAAGAGCCTTGGTGGTTCCAAACTTCTTCCACTTAAGAATGATGGAGGCCACTGTGTTCTTGGGGACCTTCAATGCTGCAGACATTTTTGGGTACTCTTCCCCAGATCTGTGCCTTGACACAATCCTGTCTCGGAGCTCTACAAATTCCTTCGACCTCAGGGTTTGGTTTTTGCTCTGACATGCACTGTCAACTGTGGGACCTTATATAGACAGGTGTGTGCCTTTCCAAATCATGTCCAATCAACTGAATTTACCACAGGTGGACTCCAATCAAGTTGTAGAAACATCTCAAGGATGATCAATGGAAACAGGATGCACCTGAGTTCAATTTCGAGTCTCATAGCAAAGGGTCTGAATACTTATGTAAATAAGTTATTTCTGTTTTGAAGTTTGAATACACATGCTACAATTTTTTTTTAAACTGTTTTTGCTTTGTCATTATGGGGTATTGTGTGTAGAATGCTGAGGATCTTTATTTATTTAATCAATTTTAGAATAAAGCTGTAACGTAACAAAATGTGGAAAAAGTCAAGGGGTCTGAATACTTTCCGAAGGCACACAAACATAAAACATAAAACTACCTGGAAGTGTAAGCAGATTCCATATTTGGTGGTACCGAATGCACGCCATTGATATGAGTGCTATGTTGCAACAGACTGACAGAAGGAAACACTTGACCCATCCTGTCAGCTAGGTTGAAGATAAAAGGTTAAGACAACGTAATAATTCCATGTAGAAGCGTTTGAAAATAAACAAATTAATTGGACTCAGCGCCGGAGCGAAAATGACGGAGTGAGTGGTAGCAGTAAAGAAGTTCGCCATCAAAGTGTAAAATGAACACAATCGTATTGAATTTCAGCTAACTACTCAGCAAACACATAGCATAAACTGTTTTACTGTCATTCTATTCATTTAAACATTTTTCTAATTATCTACAGACAATTTTATTACTTGATTTCCCAAACGCTGGTTAACTTTTCAATCCTAATCCTGTAGAATCAACCACGCCGCTGGTTCAATGAATGTGTTTATTTTCGAACGCTCCGCATGGAATTATTTTGTTGTCTTAGCCTGTATTTTTTCGACATAGCCTGTCAGCAGGATATTACCAGGATATTACACACCAACTGTAACCAGGGGATAATGAAGTTGTTTGTCATGGTGACAGTGATTGGGTTGAGGTGGGGCGGCCCAGGGGGTAGCGTGGGGTAGGGCTGGCACAATTACTGTATAACCAACGTTTATGGATGAAGACCGGCGTGAAAATAAAATAACCGTAAAAAATAAAAAATAAACGAACAGCTGACTGAACACGGGACAGCCGGGCATTCGTGTGGTTGAGTCCGTTTCTGCTGTAACATGGACTCTTAACAATGCGATTAAACTTTGTTGCTCCTTTCTGAAACAAGGAAGGTGTTGCAGCAAACAAGTCTTTGGTTGCCTAGGCAACACCCCCCTCCCTGCAGCAGCAGCACACATAGAGGGTGCGTTTGTAAATTCACTCTGGCTATCTACTCCGATTTCAGAGAACTCCTGTCCGAGTGTGCCAGAGCGCAGAATAACTGATACATTTACGAACGCTCAACACCCGTTGAATATGGCTGGTGTCAGTAAACCTCGGCAAAAAACGTAATTAAATTCTTGCCAGCAGCACAGTTACAATCCCTAACGATCTGGATAACATGAAAACAGTTTAACCAGCTCTGCTAGGGTGAGTAAAATGGTCAGAGTGAGGTGTTCTCTCATTTGTGTCTGGAAGTAGCTAGCAAGCTAGCCAACGTTAGCTTGGGTGCTTGACTACCGTTGTGAGGTCAGAATGCTCGGATCAAACCTACTCCTCAGCCAGAGCGTCCAGTGTGCGCTCTGAACACTCAGAGAGCGAAACGCTCTGAATTTACGAACGCCCAGAGCGCACTCTGAGCGCACTCTGGCACTCCAGATTGAATTTACGAACACACCCAGAAATAGAATGAATAGAATAGGCTTGGAACCTCTAACCCTGGAAGTTTGACTGGTAAACTCATGGGTACACTCGCAATGGCTGCCTGGTATTGTGATGTAATAATTTATATGGTAATGTAGAATGTTCATTCAAATTATGTTAACCGATGTGGCCCATGCAATGGAATGTCATTTTTGTAATGTCAGTTAAGTTTAATCAACAAATCACAGCACATATTGATGGGTACACTTCCTGCCTTTACTTCCTGCAATGGCCTCCGGTCCACCCATTATGCCATCATTGACTTGAATGGGGACGACCATTCTATTCATTCTATTTCAGGACTCAGGACTCAGGAGCAGAGGAGAAAATGTGAGGTAATGTGTGTTTTTTTGCTAATCGAACAGTTATTACGGTGACCGCAGTCATTTGGCTGGCAAATTACCGTCATCCAAAAGCCCTAGTGTGAGGTACTGTTGTACACATCACAGAGGGTTGTTGTTGTTTGTGTTGTCATTAGTCACCCCCCACAACAGGCCCAGTCCCACCCTCTAGTTGAGGTCACATGTTGACTTTGGAAGTGACCCGTGACAGAGCGACCTCAGGACAGAACTGTGATGCCGACACTGTCTCGCAGAGGTATCTGGTGGTTAGAAAACCGGGCAGACTATATGTGTGTACATTTGTGTGTGTGTGTTGGGTGTGTGTGCGCACACTTGTACAGTGTGGTCAGGCGGCTGCCCAGACAAATACATGGTCTGTGTGTCTGTGGGTGTCAGTCTGACATCAGTAGCAGTAGCCAGACTAATAAAGCAGTCTCAGCCCACCATTCACCATATAAAATGACCATACAGTCACTATGACAACCTGGAACAAGCACACAGAGAACATGCAGTAATAAGAGACTGCCCATAAAGCCAAAGACCAATGTGACCAAGGCATACACACACGCAAACTCATAGCCACATAAACACTTGATTAAAACCCTTTCACTGTCAAGTCTACAAACACACCAATAAATGATACAATAGAGATAAAGGTTAAGAGGTTACCGGCTAGGGAGAGGGAAAGGTTAAGAGGGAGAGGGAAGGGAAGGATAAGAGGGAGAGGGAAAGGTTAAGAGGGAGAGGGAAAGGTTAAGAGGGAGAGGGAAAGGTTAAGAGGGAGAGGGAAAGGATAGGAGGGAGAGGGAAAGTTTAAGAGGGAGAGGGAAGAATAAGAGGGAGAGGGAAAGGTTAAGAGGGAAGGGAAAGGTTAAGAGGGAGAGGGAAAGGGAAAGGTTAAGAGGGAGAGGGAAAGGTTGAGAAGGAGAGGGAAAAAGGGTAAGAGAAGGAAGAGGGAAGAGGAAGAATAAGAGGAGGAGAGGGAAAGGTTAAGAGGGAGAGGGAAGAATAAGAGGGAGAGGGAAAGGTTAAGAGGGAGAGGGAAAGGTTAAGAGGGAGAGGGAAAGGTTAAGAGGGAGAGGGAAGGATAAGAGGGAGAGGGAAAGGTTAAGAGGGAGAGGAAGAGGAAGTAGAGGAGAGGAGGAAAGGGAAGAGGGAGAGGGAAGGGAAGGTTAAGAGGGAGAGGGAAAGGTTAAGAGGGAGAGGGAAAGGTTAAGAGGGAGAGGGAAGGGTAGGAGGGAGAGGGAAAGGTAAAGGGAGAGGGAGGGAAAGGTTAAGAGGGAGAGGGGAAGGGAAGGTAAGAGGGAGAGGGAAAGGTTAAGAGGGAGAGAAGGATAAGAGGGAAAGGTTAAGAGGGAGAGGGAAAGGTTAAGAGGGAGAGGGAAAGGTTAAGAGGGAGAGGGAAGGATAGAGGGAGAGGGAAAGGTTAAGAGGGAGAGGGAAAGATAAGAGGGAAGGATAAGAGGGAGAGGGAAAGGGAAAGGTTAAGAGGGAAGATAAGGGAAGGATAAGAGGGAGAGGGAAAGGTTAAGAGGGAAGGATATGAGGGAGAGGGAAGGATCAGAGGGAGAGGGAAAGGTTAAGAGGGAGGGGAAGGATAAGAGGGAAAGGGAAGGATAAAAGGGAGAGGGAAGGTTAAGAGGTGGAGAGTGATTCCTTTGTCCGCCTGGAGCACCAATGCCTTTCAGAGAGACTCTAAGGCCGTGTCTAGACTTGACAGTTCATGCAGCTTTAGTATTCTGATCATTAGAGTTCTGATCATGGAATTCCGAACGAGTCATGCATTTACACCTACATTTAAATGTGTCTACCATGTCCACAGTGTGTCCAGATTCCATTTTCTAGCGCTATATTCAAATGCCTGTATGCATTCTACAAACGCTGGAATAGGCAAAATATGATAATAACACAACAGCTGGTGGCAGTAGCTAACTACTGTAGCTAACTAGCCAGCTAACCTCTGTAGCTAGCCAGCAAGCTAGCAAGCAATGCTAAAGGAATTGCATATTGGTTAGCATAACTATAGCCAAACATTATAGCTGTCTAGCATTTGAGGACAGCAAACACATTCCTCACACACTAGGAACACATTTCCTCCAACGTTATGATGAAAAGGTGCCTCTAGGTCCCAAAACACAAGCTTTCTGGATACTTGTGGGAGGAGTGCTGATGACGTCGCCCACTGTTTGCGCTTTTGGTTGCCTGATTGCGTCCAGACGGAGGAGAAATCCGCACACAATATATCCCTGACCACCTCCTGAAGTGGTCAGCCAGATCCGAACACAATCAGACCACAAAGCGACTTTTGTCCCTCTAGACCCTTCTTTGTATTCTGATAGCAGAAGTCGCATGTACAGTGGCTTGCGAAAGTATTCACCCCCCTTGGCATTTTTCCTATTTTGTTGCCTTACAACCTGGAATTAAAATTGATTTTTTGGGGGTTTGTATCATTTGATTTACACAACATGCCTACCACTTTGAAGATGCAAAATATATTTTTTTGTGAAACAAACAAGAAATAAGACAAAAAAACAGAAAACTTGAGCGTTTGTAACTATTCACCCCCCCCCAAAGTCAATACTTTTGCCCACTCTTCATGGCAAAACTGCTCCAGCTCCTTCAAGTTGGATGGGTTCTGCTGGTGTACAGCAATCTTTAAGTTATACCACAGATTCTCAATTGGATTGAGGTCTGGGCTTTGACTAGGCCATTCCAAGACATTTAAATGTTTCCCCTTAAACCACTCAAGTGTTGCTTTAGCAGTATGCTTAGGGTCATTGTCCTGCTGGAAGGTGAACCTCCGTCCCAGTCTCAAATCTCTGGAAGACTGAAACAGGTTTCCCTCAAGAATTTCCCTGTATTTAGCGCCATCCATCATTCCTTCAATTCTGACTAGTTTCCCAGTCCCTGCCGATGAAAAACATCCCCACAGCATGATGCTGCCACCACCATGCTTCACTGTGGGGAAGGTGTTCCCCACAGTGAAGCATGTATGATATTCTAACAATTTTAGTCTCATCTGACCAGAGTACATTCTTCCATATGTTTGGGGAGTCTCCCACATGCCTTTTGGCGAACACCGAATGTGTTTGCTTATTTTTTTCTTTAAGCAATGGCTTTTTCTGACTAGTCTTCCATAAAGCCCAGCTCTGTGGAGTGTATGGCTTAAAGTGGTCCTATGGACAGATACTCCAATCTCCGCTGTGGAGCTTTGCAGCTCCTTCAGGGTTATCTTTGGTGTCTTTGTTGCCTCTCTGATTAATGCCCTCCTTGCCTGGTCCGTGAGTTTTGGTGGGCAGCCCTCTCTTGGCATGTTTGTTGTGGTGCCATATTCTTTCCATTTTTTAATAATGGATATATTTTTATAACCCAACCCTGATCTGTACTTCTCTGCAACTTTGTCCCTGACCTGTTTGGAGAGCTCCTTGGTCTTCATGGTGCCGCTTGCTTGGTGGTGCCCCTTGCTTAGTGATGTTGCAGACTCTGGGGCCTTTCAGAACAGGTGTATATATACTGAGATCATGTGACAGATCATGTGACACTTAGATTGCACACAGGTGGACTTTATTTAACTAATTATGTGACTTCTGAAGGTAATTGGTTGCACCAGATCTTATTTAGGGGCTTCATAGCAAAGGGGGTGAATACATATGCACGCACCACTTTTCCATTATTTATTTCGTATTATTTTTATTAACAAGTTCTTTTTTTCATTTCACTTCACCAATTTGGACTATTTTGTATGGCCATTATAATAAATTACAGGTTATAATGCAACAAAATAGGAAAAATGCCAAGGGGGATGAATACTTTTGCAAGGCACTGTAAGTGTCAAGTGTAGACACGACCATAGAGACAGGAGTGGATGCCATGGCATTCCGACGGATTCCAGAGCGTGCCCGACATTCCGATATCTCAAGCTGCCAGTGCAGACCTTGAAGGCCAAGAGAGGTGAGCTGAAACCAGACCCATCTCAGACCAGCACCCTCAACACACACACACTCTTAGGACAGGACAGTTAGGAGAGGAGCTAGAGTGACTAGATAATTTCCTGGCACTTGACCCCAATTTAATAACACACTGTTTGTCCTCAGCCACACCACACACCTGTTCTGTGGTATTCATCATACTCTACTATGTAGTTATTCTTCTTACTGTAACTATTCTCTACTATACCAGTAGATGTGAATGACTGAATGAGGGAGTGTATCTGCTTGTGGGCTATATTGTGAGAGGCGGAGGGAGGGAGGGAGGGAGGGAGGGAGGAGAAAAGGTGTAGTACTTGAAGTCTTTGGTGATGTTGTCATAGTTGTTAGGGTCTTTGATGCGTTCCTGCAAGGTGTCAAAAGCCTTCTTTACCAGCAGGGGGCACTCTGGGTTCTCTGCTGCCAGGGCCCGCCACACCACCTCCAGGTACTCTGGGCAAAACGCAGCAAGAGAGACAACTCACAGTTCAAATACAAGTCACTATGAACCAACACTATTTAAACAGAGCAAATAACATGTTGAGACAATATAAAGACATGGTAACTGTTCTAACACAGAGCCAGTAAGGCATGTCATAATATATCATGAGTTGATTGTATTTATAGAACACTTTCCGCCTCCAGTCTCTAAGTGCCTCCCAATGTCATACTTAAACAGTGTGTAGGAGTACTGTTCAAATAACCTGAACCTTATTTAGAATATCATACAGTGTTAAGAGTTATAAGAATTTTCAAACATATTGTTGAAGTGTCTCCGTCTCAGTACGGACACAGGCCAGCTCCATGTGTGGTTACCACAATAATAACCGTATTATTTCAATGTTTATGACTTTCTAAACATGATGATCTTTACAGTGGAAAATGTGAGCCTTGTTCAGACAAGCAAGAGAAAGCACTTATGGGTAAAAACACTCACTAAACTACAATGACCTGCTAATTGTTGGGAAATAGAAACTTGCGTGGACTGGGAGAAATATGACGGTATCTGACATCAATGCAGTATTCCCAACTGAGCTTCTGTGTTTGTGTGTGTTGGTTGATCTCTAAATGTTCCCAGTCTCATCAAAAGGGGTCAGTGTGTGTTGTTATAGTTTCCATGTTCCAAGGCACCGTTGCCTTGGTGACACCCTTGTAGTCTTCCTCAAGAAACCAGTGAGAGACAAGAGAAGAGAGAAAAGAAGAGAAAGCCAAAGACAGCAACCTAGAGAGGACCCTTCAATCTTCCCCATCCTCACCTATTCCTCTATCTGCCCTCCAGGGTATATAACACTGGCCATTATCCTCAACTCAAATATACATAGTGACCAGTGGAGGCTGCTGAGGGGAGGACGGCTCATAATAATGGCTGGAATGGAATCAAACATATGGTTTCCATGTGGTTGATCCCATTCATTCCATTGACTCCATTCCAGCCATTACTATGAGCTGTCCTTCCCTCAGCAGCCTCCACTGATATTGACAGACTCATAGTCAGTGCATGACTATTTCCAGTTCATTATTCCATAACAAGGAACTGCCTGGGGTCTATATTCAGCAAGGTGAAACATTCAGAACATTGAGATCTCCTGAATACTCGCTGGGAGGTAAACGGCGAGTCGAATCCAGGCTCAACCTTTTGTTATGCCTCTCAGCTGTTTATTGAGTGATTTGCTTAAGTTTATTTCAGACAAATGTTAAAATGGTTAAGGGACACCCTCCTCCAGGTATCCTGTAACACCCTGAAATTCCCCCAGGCAGAGTGACACACTGGTCATGGAGAGAAAGAGAGATGGGGACTTGGACAAGCCTGAGTATAGGTAAAATTTGAGCGAAAAATGACAGATCACTGAGAGAAAGGAGGATTACTGTGTGTGTTATTATTACCTGAGAAGTTGACTGTGGCGTGGAGAGGCGCGCTGCTTGCCACGGCAGCATGAATCAGGTGGGGGTACTTGAGTCGGGACCAGGCTGCCAGCGCGCCCGGGTATGACCCGCCGAATGCCACCCACTTGCTGTTGGTCAAGCCCCGTTGTTTAGCGATGGCAGTGCGGAAGTGAGCCAGGTCGGCCAGAGCTTGTTGACTGCTGAGGAACCGCAGATTCTCTGTGCTCAGGTCACTGTGAGGGACAAGACAGACAAGGGGCTAATCAAGTCAGGAGGAAGCCAGTTTGAGAGCCTCACTCAACACCTGGTTTACTATTTCTATACTCTGCATGAACGACACGTCAATCAATCCCACTAGATTCTCTGAATTAGCCAAATAGAAATAATAACAGACATCCATCAGTCAAATGAGGTTCATATTGAGAGAGCACATGACACTGCTGGACAGGGGGCTCGCCTTTCAATGGAACTCTGTCACCTAGAGGTTATTTGATGAAGAACAGCCACCGTAATATTGTGATACAAGCGCATTGAAAATTACTAGACAAATCTAAACATACATAAAACCAGTGGTGTAAAGTACTTAAGTAAAAATACTTTCAAGTACTACTTAAGTAGTCTTTTGGGGTATTTGTACTTTACTTTACTATTTATATTTTTGACAACTTTTACTTCACTACATTCCTAAAGAAAATGAATACTTAGCAGGACAGGAAAATGGTCAAATTCACGCACTTATCAAGAGAACATCCCTGGTCATCCCTACTGCCTCTGATCTGGAGGACTCACTAAACACAAATGCTTAGTTTCTAAATTATGTTGTAGTGTGCCCCTGGCAATCCGTAAATAAAATAAATAAAATAAAAACATTGTGCCGTCTGGTTTGCTTAATATAAGCAATTTGAAATGATTTATACTTGTACTTTTACATTGATACTTAAGTATATTTTTGCAATTAAATTAACTTTTGATACTTAAGTATATTTAAAACCAAATACTTTTAGACTTTTCCTCAAGTAGTATTTTACTGGGTGACGTTCACTTTTACTTGAGTCATTTTCTATTAAGGTATCTTAACTTAACTTTTACTCAAGTATGACAATTGGGTATTTTTCCACCATTGCATAACACCAACCAATATATATATATATATATATATACATATATTTTTTTACTTACGCCATGGGACGACTGTCGCCGTAGAAACGGTGCTCTACCATAAGACAGAGGGCGCCGAGCTTCTTGGCATAGGTAAGCCAGGCCGACCTAGGGTTCATGGCTATCCATCCGGAGTTGATTGGACCCTCTCCGCCGATCATCAAAAACACCGGTCCTCCAGCTCTGTAGTACGTCTCAGTTAAGACGAATTTCTGGCAATGTAATAAACGTTATGTTGTGTTATGCATGAACTAACACACTTGATCACGCCTAGACAGTACACAGAAAAACTCACAGGTAACTTACCTCTCCATATACTGCAGTGCGAATAAGAATATAATGAAATGTCAGAACTTACTTGATTCCACACTCGACTGTCTGCACCGTTGAAGTGGTCCAGTTTTTGGGTAATCCATTGCTCCTGAAAGACAGGTTTGCCTTTTCCCTCCTGCACATCATTAGAAGATGTGTCTATTTCTATGAATTTTCTGTTACCTTTTAAAAATCCGTCACAACAGATACACAGACATGCAAAAGTAAAAACTATGAGCGCTTGAAAAGCCATGTTGACGGACTGGAAAAACTAACAGGAAAGATCCTAGAAAAGTTGAAAGTACTCTTTTGGAAATAGAAATGCACGTGATATTTGTTTACGTGATCGTGTGAAAGCTTTTTCTTCTTCGTGTAAGTGTCAACATTGGATAGACTAAGTGCTGCCATCTATCGTCGTGGGGTTAGAGTAGGGATTGGTGCAATATTATTCCCGCATAGCAGGTGGCGGTAGAACACTATCGATGTCAGCAAACTGCCACGGTTCTAAGGAGAGGAAGCCGTGCACACCGTCTCCGGTTGTTCAGTTTATCAGTAGCCGAATTTCGTAAAACAGCAACTATGGAGGAGGCAAAAAATAAAGAGAAAAAGCAGTCCGAAAAGACCGAGGAAAAGGAGACTAAGCCCACCGGGAAGGACAAGGATAAAAAAGAAGAGCAAGAACTGGTGAGTTGGGGCACTTTTCTAAACATCTTGAACAAGGGAAGCAGAGCAGCGTTTTTGCCTGAGTCACTCACTGCCTGGTTGACATGGTTGAACAGGCCGAAAGCGTTGTCATTCAAAATAATAACGAACTATTTGAGTCCCCTTTATTGATGAAAAGTATGTCATGGCTGGCTAAGTACGAGGTGCCAACAATTAAGATTATTGTGTCCGACTGAAAGCGAGCTATAAAACACGTATACACCTAGCTAACGTTAGCATAGCCGCTAGCTGGCTGTGCTAGCCGGTGCTAGGTAACGTTAGTGAAATTAACTACCGATAGGTAATCTAAAAGTTAGCGAAGTAGTTAGCCAGCCAAGTTACAATAATGTAACGTTAGCTAGCTAAATAACGTTAGTGTTGCATTGTAAACAGTTCGTTATCTCAGTTCGCTAATGTTGTTAGCTGGTTAACGGTTAGCTACAGTACAGTACAGTAGCTAGTAACTTTGCAACTGCAGTAAATTAACCTGCCTGTCGTTATCAGATTGTATTTTTGAGACCGTCAGTGTAGCTACCTATATTTGTCATGATCAGTGATCTTTGATTGCGAGGTGGGTTTAGTTATTACGTGTTATTTGTTTAGCTAGTTATTTACATATATGGGTTTTTAAACTTATTAGCGAGTACATTAACATTAGCCAATTTCAGACACAATAAAAATGGAGGCAACGTTACCGACATAGCTAGTTATCAGGGCAACCCTACCATCAGTCGACAATGGTATAGGACCGGTGAATGACAGAATGCTCCAATATCTAGCAGTTAGCAAATTGCAGAGCCTTTTATTGCAGTAGTTTCCTGTTGGAAGAACAGTCCTTTTACTGTTTACTGTGCAGGGTTCGGTTATTCAATTTCCCAACATGGCATGTTGAATCTGTCATACTGTAATGTCAGTTCCTCTATTCTCTCTCCAGTCTGATGAGGACAAACAACTGCAAGAAGAGCTGGAGATGATGGTGGAGAGACTTGGTGTGAGTACCACTACCACAAGAACTGCTAAACCTCAAGTCTGGTTTTGCTTTGGACTCTCTGGGACTATAGCTTATTACATTATAATTTTTTACTGTACATAAGGCGTTAGTATGGAGAGTCAGTCATTTACACACACTGCATTAAGTATTTGGTGATTATGCATATAAAATTACATTCTTTGTACTTATGCAATGTACACCCCACCCCCTTTCTCTCTCTCTCACCCACCCACAGGAGACGGACACGTCTCTGTACCGGCCTGCTCTAGAGGAGCTGCGCAGGCAGATCCGCTCCTCCACCACTTCCATGACCTCTGTGCCTAAGCCCCTGAAGTTCCTGCGGCCACACTATGGCAAGCTCAAAGAGATCTACGAGGGCATGGCGCCTGGCGAGAACAAGGTGCTAAATGGCTAACTGTGAGAGTGGGGAAAACAGAAGACTGTCTCAACCACTGTATTGCTTCCTTTCCCTGTCTGCTTTTACTTTATAAGCAGAAAATCAGGATGGATTTATTTTACAATGTTACTGGAGATACAGAAAATTAAACAAGTATAGATACAGTTGAAGTCGGAAGTTTACATACACCTTAGCCAAATACATTTAAACTCAGTTTTTCAGAATTCCTGACATTTTAATCCTAGTAAATATTCCCAGTCTTAGGTCAGTTAGGATCACCACTTTATTTTAAGAATGTGAAATGTCAGAATAATAGTAGAGAGTGATTTATTTCAGCTTTTATTTCTTTCATCACATTCCCAGTGGGTCAGAAGTTTACATATACTCAATTAGTATTTGGTAGCATTGCCTTTAAATTGTTTAACTTGTGTCAAATGTTTCGGGTAGCCTTCCACAAGCTTCCCACAATAAGTTGGGTGAATTTTGGCCCATTCCTCCTGACAGAGCTGGTATAACTGAGTCAGGTTTGTAGGCCTCCTTGCTCGAACACGCTTTTTCAGTTCTGCCCACAAATGTTCTATAGGATTGAGGTCAGGGCTTTGTGATGGCCACTCCAATACCTTGACTTAGTTGTCCTTAAGCCATTTTTCCACAACTTTGGAAGTATGCTTGGGGTCATTGTCCATTTGGAAGACCCATTTGCGACCAAGCTTTAACTTCCTGACTGATGTCTTGAGATGTTGCATCAATATATCCATATAATTTTCCTTCCTCATGATGCCATCTATTTTGTGAAGTGCACCAGTCCCTCCTGCAGCAAAGCACCCCCACAGCATGATGCTGCCACCCCCGTACTTTACGGTTGGGAGGGTGTTCTTCGGCTTGCAAGCAACCCCCTTTTTCCTCCAAACATAACAAAGGTCATTATGGCCAAACAGTTCTATTTTTGTTTCATCAGACCAGAGGACATTTCTCCAAAAAGTACGATCTTTGTCCCCATGTGCAGTTGCAAACCGTAGTCTGGCTTTTTTTTGGCGGTTTTGTAGCAGTGGCTTCTTCCTTGCTGAGCGGCCTTTCAGGTTATGTCGATATAGGACTCATTTTACTGTGGATATAGATACTTTTGTACCTGTTTCCTCCAGCATCTTCACAAGGTCCTTTGCTGTTCTGGGATTGATTTGCACTTTTCGCACCAAAGTACGTTCATCTCTAGGAGACAGAACGTGTCTCCTTCCTGAGCGGTATACTTGCGTACTATTGTTTGTACAGATGAACGTGGTACCTTCAGGCGTTTGGAAATTGCTCCCAAGGTTGAACCTTTCTTTTCATTTTCCCATGATGTCAAGCAAAGAGGCACTGAGTTTGAAGGTAGGCCTTGAAATACATCCACAGGTACACCTCCAATTGACTCAAATGATGTCAATTAGGCTAAAGCCATGACATCATTTTCTGGAATTTTCCAAGCTGTTTAAAGGCACAATCAACTTAGTGTATGTATAATTCTGACCCACTGGAATTGTGATACAGTGAATTATAAGTGAAATAATCTGTCTGTAAACAATTGTTGGAAAAATTACTTGTGTCATGCACAAAGTAGATGTCCTAACTGACTTGCCAAAACTATTTTTTTATTTTTTATTTAACCAGGTAAGCCAGTTGAGAACAAGTTCTCATTTACAACTGCGACCTGGCCAAGACAAAGCAAAGCAGTGCGATTTAAAAACAACAACACAGAGTTACATATGCGGTAAACAAAACATAAAGTCAAAAATACAAACAGAAAATATATATACAGTGTGTGCGAATGTAGTAAGTTATGGAGGTAAGGCAATATAGTGCAAAATAGTTACAATTTCGTATTAACACTGGAAAGATAGATGTGCAAAATATGATGTGCAAATAGAGATACTGGGGTGCAAAATAAATAACAATATGGGGATGAGGTAGTTTGGTGGGCTAATTTCAGAATGGCTGTGTACAGGTGCAGTGATCTGTAAGCTGCTCTGATAACTGACACTTAAAGTTAGTGAGGGAGATAAGAGTCTCCAGCTTCAGAGATTTTTGCAGTTCGTTCCAGTCATTGGCAGCAGAGAACTGGAAGGAATGGCGGCCAAAGGAGGTGTTGGCTTTGGGGATGACCAGTGAGATATACCTGCTGGAGCGCAGACTACGGGTGGGTGTTGCTATGGTGACCAGTGAGCTATGGTAAGACGGGGATTTGCCTAGCAGTGATTTATAGATTACCTGGAGCCAGTGGGTTTGGCGACGAATATGTAGTGAGGGCCAGCCAACAAGAGCGTACAGGTCACAATGGTGGGTAGTATATGGGGCTTTGGTGACAAAACGGATGGCACTGTGATAGACTACATCCAATTTGCTGAGTAGAGTGTTGGAGGCTATTTTGTAAATGACATCGCCGAAGTCAAGGATCGGTAGGATAGTCAGTAATACGAGGGCATGTTTGGCAGCATGAGTGAAGGAGGCTTTGTTGCGAAATAGGAAGCCGATTCTAGATCTAACTTTGGATTGGAGATTCTTAATGTGAGTCTGGAAGGAGAGTTTACAGTCTAACCAGACACCTAGGTATTTGTAGTTGTCCACATACTCTAGGTCAGACCCGTCGAGAGTAGTGATTCTAGTCGGGTGGGCGGGTGCAAGCAGCATTCGGTTGAAGAGCATGCATTTAGTTTTACTAGTGTTTAAGAGCAGTTGAAAAACTATAGTTTGTTAACAAGAAATGTGTGAAGTGGTTGAAAAACAAGTTTTAATGACTCCAACCTAAGTGTATGTAAACTTCTGACTTCAACTGTACCTAGTATATTGGACATCGCAGATTTGGATGGCACTAGGGATTCATGTTCAGATGGACCCATCATAACTGTCATTATAGAAACGTCTAGCTAACTCCTGTCTGTTTTGTTTTGCAGAGTTTCTGTGCGGACGTAGTGTCGGTCTTGGCCATGACAATGAGTGGGGAGCGGGAGTGTCTGAAGTACCGTCTGCTGGGCTCCCAGGAGGAGCTGGCGTCCTGGGGACATGAATACGTCAGGTAGGATACGGGACACCAATTCAAACGTCTAACAACACACACGGGTGAATCCTACCTTCTACTTAAGTAGAATTTTCACTTAGTCATGCATTGATAACAATGGAAGACTAAGTAAAAATTAGACTGAAATGGAAGTTAGGATTCACCTCAGTCATTCCATACCTGGCAGGAGTAGGCAGTTTGTTTGGTCTGACCTAGGGCTTTGACGATACCAGTATGGTGATATTTTTTTGCCTGGCAAAAATGCAAACACAAAGCAGACTGACTCTTTGGTTCTTTAAAAACCTGCTGTGTGTCAAATATTGTGTGCTATAGCTTGGAAAATAAATAAATGTGTGTCTGGATGACAACGTAAGGATGTTTCTTTCCAACATTCGGGCTGTTTCCTAAAGAAGTTAAATCTGCTTTGTGTTTTCTTTCATTTCCGCGAAACTGGTATCATCCCGGTCCTAGTCTGACCCAAACTCTGTGTGTGTGTGTGTAGGCACCTGGCGGGCGAGGTGGCCAAGGAGTGGCAGGAGGTTGAGGAGAGTGATAAGACGCAACAGGAAACTCTGCTGAAGCTGGTGAAGGAGATTGTGCCCTACAACATGGCCCACAACGCTGAGCACGAGGCCTGTGACCTGCTGATGGAGATCGAGAGGCTAGAGATGCTGGAGCTCTACATAGATGATAATGCATACGCCAAGGTCTGCCTCTACCTCACCAGGTGAGTGGACAACACACACCTTACCACGTGAGGGGCAAACATATGTACCTTCACACACACACACACACGTTCAAACACCTGTACCACAGTCTGCTTCTGCCTCAACATACCTGTAGTGTGCTAACAGCAGCCTGAAGAGACAAAAGGAAGTTCCTCTCATCAGTAATCCTAAACCCCTCTGTCATCTCTCTCTTTCTCTCTCTCCATTGCAGCTGTGTGAGCTACGTCCCTGAGCCAGAGAACTCTGCCCTGTTAAAGTGTTCCCTGAACATCTTCAGGAAGTTTAACCGTTACCCAGAGGCCCTGAGGCTGGCCCTGATGCTCAACGACGTGGAACTGGTGGAGAACATCTTCACCTCCTGCAAAGACATGTAAGGACTGACACAACACCTTCGCTGCACTCTCTCTCACACTGAATTATCTCACAGCAACACTTTGGCAAAAAGTGCTACCTACAGGTAACTGCCAAATACTTGAGTAAATGAGGGATACAAAGTATATTGAAAGCAGGTGCTTCCATGGAAGCACAGGTGTGGTTCCAAAGTTAATTAATTCTTAAAAGTCTAAGCTGTTGAGGGGTGGTTCTAAGCTGACATATGGAATTGTTTTAAGATGGTCATACTATAGATCATTTATCTATTTGATTATAAATGTTCGGACCCCTGTAAGTATTGAAAACAATGTGTTTTTTAAATAAAATATTGAATTTGGCCTTTTACTACTATAGACCAGAGAAACTCGTTGAATAACACATTCATAAATGGCAAAAAAAGAGAAGAAACAAGGTTTTTAAGTGTTTGTCTTATATCTAGGAGGTAAAAAAGCTCAGGAAATGTATATATATTTTTTTACACATTTAACCATTTTTTTTGGGTAGGCACAAACCTACCTACCTTCATACCTCCATTCATAAAAATAAAAAACCGGTACCGGTTACGTTCAGACGACTCCCATGTACTTGGGGGGTTTGGGGGGGGGGGTCGTAGAGCAAAACGGAGAACACTATCGTGTTCATGAGATTCTCCCCTTTCCATTGAGTGGTCATAGTAGGTTGCTACAGACGTTTTTGTGAGAAGATTTTTGGGATGTGTCATGGTCTGACCAACACCGCTCTAGCTCTGCCACCTTTCACCGCAGATGCGGACGTGCGACATCGGCGGATGAGGTGGATTGAGATGCATCTAATGCAAAAAAACGAACATATCTATAGCTTAAACTGGGGGATTTGGATGGGGATTGTTTTATTATGTTACTTAGATTGACGCAATTAAAACATCTCATCATGCTTAGGGTTGCCCATTATTTTGGCTACCATGGCTAGAAGAGATCTTAGTGACTTTGAAAGAGGGGTCTCAAAGGAGCATAGGGGGTTTAAAGAGGTCTGTGTGTGTGTCTCCGTCACCATATCTCAATCCAGTTGAACACTTATGGGAGATTCTGGAGCGGCACCTGAGACAGCGTTTTCCATCAACAAAACACAAAATTATGGAATTTCTCATGGAATAAATGGCATCCCTCCAATAGCGTTCCAGACACTTGTAAAATCTATACCAAGGCGCATTGAAGCTGTTCTGGCAGCTCGTGGTGGCCCAACACCCTATTACGACACTATGTTGGTGTTTCCCTTATTTTGGCAGTTCCCTGTATAACCTATAGTGGTAAACAGTTTTCTTTCTAGTCATTATTCACATTTTCAACTGACCGTCATTGGGAATGCATTCAGCAGTGTGTTCCGTAGTTAATGATGTGCTTGAAGAGTTGACCGTTTAGTGGGTGTTTCCTGTAGCGTGATCCAAAAGGAGATGGCCTTCATGCTGGGCCGACACGGCATGTTCCTGGAGCTCAACGAGGACGTGGAGGACTACGAGGACCTGACGGAGATCATGTCTAACGTCCAGCTCAACAGCAACTTCCTGGCCCTGGCCCGAGAGGTGAGGAGAGAGGGAGGGTTATAGGAGGGTAGATGGGTAGACTACTAGAGAGAGGGGAGTGGGTTGGAAGAGTGTGAGACTGTTTAGAGCAGGAGTGAGGACAGTGGGGACTGAGTGTATGTTGGAGAGGGGGAGAAGGTGTTTAGAGTAGGGCTAAGGAGAGAGGACGAGTAGAGATGAGTCAGAGGACCGTTCTCTATTTGATATTGTTGAGAGGGGGAAATGGAGGAGGCTTGAAGAAGGTACTAAGAGGCGAGTGAAAGAGTTGTGTGGGGGTCAGGGTGGGAGAATAATGGATAATGGTGCAAAGAGTGAGAGAAGAGATAAGGCTGGAGGATAATGAACTGCTGGCTGGTCTAGTGAATAAACCAATTAGTGAAAGAGATGAAGCGAGCCAGTAACACACTGTTCCCTTTCTTTACAGTTGGACATCATGGAACCCAAAGTCCCAGATGACATCTACAAAACCCACCTGGAGAACAACCGTGAGTTCTCCTTCACTACAGCAGCACACTAATTGTCCTGGTCGTGTTATATCACACTCCTCTTTCCTCATCCTCCCTCTCATCATGCCATCTTCTCTCTGTCAGGGTTTGGAGGAAGTGGTTCCCAGGTGGACTCTGCTCGTATGAACCTGGCCTCCTCGTTTGTCAACGGCTTCGTCAACGCAGGGTTCGGACAGGACAAGCTGCTCACAGACGACGGCAACAAATGGCTGTACAAGAACAAAGATCATGGTGAGAAACCCACACACAGTCTCCCATCCCTGTCTTCAAATCGGGCTCATGATTCACATTTGGTGCATTTGACTGAACATTTTTAATGTTTGGGGGTTCGACAGTGAATACCAGTCTCATGAATCTAGGATTCTTAGCAGCAACTTAATGTATCACCTTCATTGCTAATCCTTAATTGCAAGCACAGTAACAAAAATAACATATTGCTGTTATGTAAATGTTGATGCTAATTCTGTGTTTCTCTCCAGGTATGATGAGTGCTGCAGCCTCTCTGGGGATGATCCTGCTGTGGGATGTGGACGGTGGTCTGACACAGATAGACAAGTACCTCTACTCCTCAGAGGACTACATTAAGGTCAGCGCACACACTGACCCTCTTACCAAACACCCTGCATTAAAACCTTCTCCCCGCAACCTTCACAGCATCCAGAAAAGCCCTAAACATCCTATTAATGTAGATATGTCTCCCTCTCTTTCTCGTCCCTCCTCTCTCTCCCTGTAGTCGGGGGCCCTCCTGGCTTGTGGCATAGTGAACTCTGGGGTGAGGAACGAGTGTGACCCGGCCCTGGCCTTGCTGTCAGACTACGTCCTCCACAACAGCAACATCATGCGGATAGGAGCCATCTTCGGGTAAGGAGAGAAGGAAATGTGTGTTCAGTCCCAAATCAACCCCTAGCCACTACTGCCTGACACCTCTTACACATGAAAGACCTTCATTGAGGTCTGTTTAGTCCTTTCTTAGCACAGTGTAATCTCTGCCTGTGAAAAGTACTTGTTTTAGGTAGGGTTTGTCCCCCTGACCTTCCCCTCTATCTTCAGCCTGGGCCTGGCGTACGCTGGCTCGAACCGCGAGGACGTCCTCTCTCTGCTGCTGCCCGTCATGGTAGACTCCAAGTCCAGCATGGAGGTACTCTGTGTGTGTGTGTGTGTGTGTGTGTGTGTGTAGTTCCACAGTTTGTCTGGGTTTAAGTCAAGTACACATCCACACTCATTAAACCCAGCTCACTGTCCCATGTTACGTGTCTTGTCACACACACTCAGGTGGCAGGTGTGACCGCGCTGGCGTGCGGTATGATCGCGGTGGGCTCGTGTAATGGTGACGTCACCTCCACCATCGTCCAGACCATCATGGAGAAGAGTGAGCTGGAGCTGAAAGACACATATGCCCGCTGGCTGCCGCTGGGCCTGGGCCTCAACCACCTGGGTAAAGGGGAGGCCATTGAGACCACCCTGGCAGCGCTGCAGGTGGTGCCTGAGCCCTTCCGCAGCTTCGCCAACACACTGGTGGACGTCTGTGCCTACGCAGGTCAGTCTCATCATAGCTCCAGCTTTATCATTTTGTCTCCCAATTGTCTTTTGTTTTTTTATTTGATTGACATATAATGTATTTATACAGGTGATCTCATTGGGATTTACAAGAGATGGCTTTCCTGTATTTATCTCTTGTTTCCCGCCATGCCAGGTTCTGGTAACGTACTGAAGGTGCAGCAGCTGCTCCACATCTGCAGTGAGCACTATGAAGCCAAGGAGAAGGAGGAGGAAAAAGACAAGAAGGACAAGAAGGACAAAGACAAGAAGGAGAGTGCAGCCGACATGGGCTCCCACCAGGTATGCCAGGCTTCTGTTAATGAAGCGGTGTCAGGTAGCCTAGCGTTTTAAGAGCGTTGGGCCAGTAACCGAAAGGTCGCCGGTTTGAATCTCAGAGCCGACTAGGTGAAAAATCGGTTGGTGCCCTTGAGCAAGGCACTTAACCCTAATTGCACCTGTAAGTCGCTCTGGATAAGAGTGTCTGCTAAATGACAAAATGTTAAATATAATCAAATGAGTGGTATGAATGAAGATTTGATATTTAACTAATCTGCTCTCTGCTTCCCCCTCCCAGGGTGTGGCTGTCTTGGGTATTGCACTCATTGCCATGGGAGAAGAGATTGGCTCAGAGATGGCACTACGGGCGTTTGGACACCTGGTCAGTATAACCTCTGACCTGTTCACTCCATTTGGCTTCAACACATTTTCAGGACATTGATTTAGCCCCTGTCTCTTTCACTCGATCCGACCATCCCACGTCAAACTGTTTCTCTTTCTCTCTCCATTGTGTTTTCCTTCTCCACCTCACTCACTCTCCTAGTTGCGGTATGGAGAGCCTACTCTGAGGCGTGCGGTGCCTCTGGCCTTGGCCCTGATCTCCGTGTCGAATCCTCGCCTCAACATCCTGGACACACTCAGCAAGTTCTCCCATGATGCTGACCCAGAGGTCTCCCACAACTCCATCTTTGCCATGGGCATGGTGGGCAGCGGTGAGTGGGCCCTGGCATTACTGGTTAATGGGCTCTATTGTGTGCCTGCTGTCTGGAACCCAATCAGTCAGTGGCTTCATTATTATATTGAGATGTTCAAAGTTATTTTGATTTGCCTCACTAAGTTATCACAATGTTCCTCTGTAATTATTCCTTGTCCTTGAATAAGAAACAGACCGTAAAGCTGTGAATTCACTGTGCCAGATGACAAAGTATGAGACCTTCTATACTGACTGCGTCTCAAGCTGTGGTTGGTTGCCATGAGGACTCACGGCTCCATCTCTCTGTCCGCAGGAACAAACAATGCCCGCCTGGCTGCCATGCTGAGGCAGCTGGCTCAGTACCATGCCAAAGACCCCAACAACCTCTTCATGGTCCGACTGGCACAGGTGGGTAGCAAAAAGAGGTTCCGCTCTGGCACTCTAACCTGTGTGTTAGAGAGAGAGTATGTGTCTCTGTGTCTCTAAACGCTTGCTCTGTGCCATGTCCACAGGGTCTGACTCACCTGGGTAAAGGGACATTGACGCTGTGTCCGTACCACAGTGACAGGCAGCTGATGAGTCAGGTAGCCGTGGCCGGACTACTCACTGTCCTCGTCTCCTTCCTTGACGTTAAGAACAGTGAGTCCTTTCTCATTGCTCTACCTACTTCACCATTCCTTTTTATTTGCCTCTCCCTCCCCCCCATATTTCCACATCCTTGTGTTTTAGGGTTGGGGGTGATGTCCATTTCTGTTGTCATTTGAGGAAGTGAACTGAATTTCAATGTATGGATGGAAAATTCCACATAGAAAACAATTAGCAATTGTTCAACTCCTGAATGGCATTGGCCTTTGCCCAGCTAGTTTCATTGTCCTCCTTTTATATTGGTTAGTAAGTCTGCTGAATGTCTTAACCTGGGTCTGAGTGTTTGGCTGTTTGTGTTGACATCACCCCCTGCTGTTTCCTGTGTGTGCTCCAGTAATCCTGGGGAAGTCTCACTACGTTCTCTATGGCCTGGTGGCTGCCATGCAGCCCCGTATGCTGGTCACCTTCGACGAGGAGCTGAGGCCGCTGCCCGTGTCCGTCAGGGTGGGACAGGTAAGGACTGCTGCTCACACTATGCTCTTTAATAAGAGCCTGGGTGATTAGCTTCATATTCAAAATATAATACTAGTTGAGGATGTAGCTAGATGGTGTGACGAAGGCCGAAAAGTCAGCACGATATGACGCAATGCTTTGCAAGTGAAATGTGCTGGAGATTCCTTTCATTTTAACTATGGTTGAACATCTCTAATGCAAAGTAACGTCTAGATGTGCAAGTGCTTTTTAATCTCAAGATTAGGATGTAATGCCATAAGATGGTAGAGTGGACTTGGCCTCATGGTTCATGTATGTAATTGGTCTATAGGCGGTGGACGTGGTTGGCCAGGCCGGTAAGCCCAAAGCCATCACAGGTTTCCAGACCCACACCACGCCGGTGCTCCTGGCTCACGGAGAGAGGGCAGAGTTGGCCACAGAGGAGTACCTCCCTGTCACCCCTATCCTGGAGGGCTTTGTCATCCTCCGCAAGAACCCCAACTACGATGCCTAGATTGCCCCCTATTGTCCTCCCCTGGTACCCACATTGGTAGCCCTCCCTGGCTCTTTTAGACCACATATTTTACTACTTTATTCCATGTCAGAAAAGAGCCAGGAAGGCCTACCCCTTTCTCTTGTCAACAGCTTCTCTCCATCTGTGAAACTATATGGTTGCGTTCTGGGTGTTCAAACTGACTGGAGCAGGGAGTAGGACCTCATTCACACTCTTAGATTGGTTTATTTGTTCTGATCTAGGATCAGTTCCTGGTAAATACATTAAACCAGCTCTTTCAGGCTCCACAAATATATAACTGATCTAGGGTCAGCTGTCAGGAGGGAACTGTGATCAGCATCTCCCTGTTTCTCATTCAGCCTTCAAAGCTACCTTTTACACAGGCAGCCCAATTTTAATATTTTTTCCACTAATTGGTCTTTTGATCAATGACATCAGATCATTTTCAGAGCAGGTCTGATTGGTCAAAAGACCAATTAGTGGAAAAAATATCAGAATTAGGCTGCCTGTGTAAATGCAGCCCTAGTGATGAACAACAATCTCAGTCAATCTCCCACAATAGTACAACCGGTTTCTCTTTCCCACCCATGATAACCTACTTTTTGTAATTAGAGCATGGAAAATGTGTCCTCATCATTCAGTTTTTGTTGGTTTTGTTACAGTACTGTAAAAGGTTAAAATAATAAACGTTTCAGATCCACTTGGTGGAATTGTCTATCACTGGGTCTGTTCTTTGTCTGTTATATCTGAGGGACAAGTTTCTGAAATATACTTTTTTTTTTAATGACATTTAATAACACAGCCTGCAGATCTGGATGGCTAATTATGAAACTGCGCAGTGGAGAGGTACTGAGGTGAGGTTGGTCATGAACCCTCACTGCAGCAGAGGTTCTGAATACTTACTTGCTGGATGTTGCAGACAATTGTATGTATTGTATGGAACATTTGAAATACACATTTAAGTTAAGTAAATTCATTTAAACACTGATACATTTGACATATCTTGATTAATTTTTCAGACCGCACACTGACCTCATCACAGACAAGACTCTGGCCATGCCCATGCGAGCAAAAGCAACCATCTAACCGTAGTGATGAATTTGTTTTATTGTGCGTGTATGAATTAGTTTAATATTACACGAATACTGTACTGCACATTAGTTTGTGGTTTGTCGTTTTAACTAAAACGTGTAGCTAGAATCACACCGGCGTCCCTGTCACATGACTGATTAAACCGGAATTTGGCTACCGGCTTCCGGGACCGCCCATTCCGTCCGACTGCGGACTGAAGGAGAGAAAGGTAAATGTTATGGTTTCCATCTATACTCTTTGCTAATTCAGAATTGTGTGAGAAACCAAGAGACAATCCGCGCTTTTAAAATTGACATTAAACCCAGTAGATCGATCTGGGGGCTCGAGCTGTGTCTCCTTTCCCAGACTGTGATTTTGCCACTGTTAGCCCAACCAACCCACACCCCAAAAAGGGATAGGACACCCCCTTCCTAGGAGGTGATAAACGTTATCTTATTAAGGAGAATTGACGAAGGCAGGAGATCGACAGAACCGAAAACAACCATTTGAATCCCTTTATTAGCTAGCTGGCTAACTAATACCCTTCAAAAACGTTTAGCTAATTTCTGGTAAGTAATCTACTATATGTAGCTAGCGCTAGCCGGCTAACTAACTGTCTTGACATTTTGGTAATGATTTGTGGTAGCTAGCTAACGTTAGTTGGATTTGTTGTTAGCTTAGCTAGTTAACGTTATGAGAAACTGTCCCATAATTTGTTCGGTGTGTGGGTGAATGGCCCCGTGTAGTTCAGTTGGTAGAGCATGGCGCTTGCAACGGGTTCGTTTCCCACGGGGGGCCAGTATGAAAAGTCGCTCTGGATAAGAGCGTTTGCTAAATGACTTAAATGTAAATTAATGATTACTTGTTTTCGGTAGCAGATTTTATGCCATATCAGTTTACTTTATTCTTGAGAAATGGTCATTGAACCCAATCGTTCCTGCCCTTAAACAAATATTGTCGTTTTGAAACTGCATGTAAAAATGCAGTAACTGAAGTCGACTTATTTAGGAAGCAGTATTTGCAACATACTGCAGTTATACGGCAGTGCGTTAATATACTGCACTCTGACTGCAATCTTTTTTCGTAAGCGTGGTAATGTTATAGTTGAAGTACCGGTAGTTAGATGGTTGAGGATGCATCATTTTGTCACCTTCCCAGTCTGCACGGCTGTGTGTTGTAGCTAGCTAACACTGTGGTTATTTGGTGCTTCCAAGACAACTGGGAATTCGGAAAAAAGAGGTCGAATAATGACGTCAGTGATCTTCAGGTCGGAGCTCTAAAAAGATTCGAGTTTCCGACTTGGTTGACCATTCAAAACGATTTGTCCAGTCAGTGGTCGTTTTTAGTCACCGAATTCCCAGTTGTCTTGAATGCACTGAAGTCGGAGATTTGAGTTCTGTTGTTTTGAAGGCGGCACATGGCCCACATACAGTTGAAGTCAGAAGTATACATACACCTTAGCCAAATACATTTAAACTACGTTTTTCACAATTCCTGACATTTAATCCTAGTAAAAAGTCCCTGTTTTAGGTCAGTTAGGATCACCACTTTATTTTAAGAATGTGAAATGTCAGAATAATTGTAGAGAATTATTTAATTCAGCTTTTATTTATTTTATCACATTCCCAGTGGGTCAGAAGTTTACATACACTCAATTAGTATTTGGTAGCATTGCCTTTAAAATGTTTAACTTGGGTCAAACGTTTCAGGTAGCCTTCCACAAGCTTCCCACAATAAGTTGGGTGAATTTTGGCCCATTCCTCCTGACAGAGCTGGTGTAACTGAGTCAGGTTTGTAGGCCTCCTTGCTCGAACACACTTTTTCTATAGGATTGAGGTCAGGGCTTTGTGATGGCCACTCCAATACCTTGACTTAGTTGTCCTTAAGCCATTTTGCCACATCTTTGGAAGTATGCGTGGGGTCATTGTCCATTTGGAAGACCCATTTGCGACCAAGCTTTAACTTCCTGACTGATGTCTTGAGATGTTGCATCAATATATCCACATAATTTTCCTTCCTCATGGTGCCATCTATTTTGTGAAGTGCACCAGTCCCTCCTGCAGCAAAGCACCCCCACAGCATGATGCTGCCACCCCCGTGCTTCATGGTTGGGATGGTGTTCTTCGGCTTGCAAGCAACCCCCTTTTTCCTCCAAACATAACGATGGTCATTATGGCCAAACAGTTCTATTTTTGTTTCATCAGACAAGAGGACATTTCTCCAAAAAGTACGATATTTGTCCCATGTGCAGTTGCAAACAGTATTCTGGCTTTTTAATGGCGGTTTTGGAGCAGTGGCTTCTTCCTTGCTGAGCGGCCTTTCAGGTTATGTCGATATAGGACTCGTTTTACTGTGGATATAGGTAATTTTGTACCTGTTTCCTTCTGCATCTTCACAAGGTCCTTTGCTGTTGTTCTGGGATTGATTTGCACTTTTGGCACCAAAGTATGTTAATCTCTTGGAGACAGAACGCATCTCCTTCCTGAGCGGTATGACAGCTGCGTGGTCCCATGGTGTTTATACTTGCGTACTATTGTTTGTACAGATGAACGTGGTACCTTCAGGCATTTGGAAATTGCTCCCAAGGAAGAACCAGACTTGTGGAGGTCTACACATTTTTTTCCTGAGGTCTTGGCTGATTTTCTTTGAAGGTAGGCCTTGAAATACATCCACAGGTACACCTCCAATTGACTCAAATGATGTCAATTAGCCTACCAGAAGCTTCTAAAGCCATGACATCATTTTCTGGATTTTTCCAAGCTGTTTAAAGGCACAGTCAACTTAGTGTATGTAAACTTCTGACCCACTGGAATTGTGATACAGTGAATTATAAGTGAAATAATCTGTCTGTAAACAATTGTTGGAAAAATTACTTGTGTCATGCACAAAGTAGATGTCCTAACCGACTTGCCAAAACTATAGTTTGTTAACAAGAAATTTGTGGAGTGGTTGAAAAACGGGTTTTAATGTCTCCAACCTAAGTGTATTACATTTACATCATTTAGCAGACCCTCTTATCCAGAGCGACTTAGTGTATGTAAACTTCCGACTTCAACTGTATTTAACTGTGGCGTTTGTCATTTGACAGAGGGATATATTGTGGGATCTCGTTTTACTGAGAATATATATTACTGATGCATGGACAATGTGATAGGATCCACATTGGCAAGTTCGTTTATCCTTGGATCCCATGCATAATGTTCATGCTCAGAGGATGACACAACATGACGAAGATGCTACCCTACGGCTGAAATGGTACAAATGCTTATCCGTTTCCGTATAGTAGTTGCCACAGAGACTGGTTTCCATCTTTTCGGTATTTGGGAGACCCCTTACTTATATATCCGCCTCGATATAAGAGAACGGAGTTGAGCGTTCCTCAGCTACATGCTTGCTAGACAGCATGTAATCATATGCAGTTTGAGCATTGTCAGTTTATGGTTTGTTATACATGTTGGCAAATTAGAAAATCTAAACCGATAAGAGAATAGAGGAGAACAAGAAGCCGGCTGCTATGTGTGCGTGCACTGTGCCACACTTGCCGCGCGCTCTAAAGCCGGAGAACCAACCACGTGGTAACTCCAAAGTGGGCTTGAGGGGGAAATGGTTGACACAAGTTAGCACAGCCTCAAAGTCAGAATTGGCTATATCGTAATATTTTTTTTTACGTTTGATTTTTCTTCTTAATTTAAGGTTAGGCATAATGTTAGCAGTGTGGTTAGGGTAAATTGTAGAAATAGGCGGGGTTTATGACTTTGACTGCTGTAACTAGTGACGTCCGAAAAAACTGTTGGAGGGACATGGCGCCGCACAGCAAAGCCATCCTACTCGCCTTATCGTCTCACGTTACCGGAGCTTGGCAGAACTGAGGGTTTGGTAGTTATCCACTCACTGTAGCATGCATGCCTGTAGCTAGCAATATTACTGTGTGTATTGTGTGACAGTCGTCAGGTCTGCCTTGTTTGTTGTTAAGTGAATTTGTA